AAGAGAAGAGAAGAGAAGAGAAGAGAAGAGAAGAGAAGAGAAGAGAAAAAAATAAACACACATGAATGTATAATCAGAAATCTACTGAGTTGAGAAGTTACTTTTAATGCTTGCCACAGTGAATATTTTCTATTATGGTCTAACTGACCATCTCACTGATTATTTATAAGACAATATTTTAGAACAAATTAAAAAACACTTGATTCTAACACAGATCCTTGAAGTAGTGTGCTTCTTATTTTTCTCCATTGAGAAAGTTGTTCATTTATTGCTATTCTTTGCTTTCTATTTTTAATTAGTTCACAATCTATGGAAGGAGAGGTCCTCCTTTCTCATGATCACAACGGTTGCTCAAGAGTCTTTGATAAAAATGCAGTTATAGAGAAATCCTTGATGGCAGGTTTTGTGAGCCTGAGACTGCAGTTCTTCCTTTTCAATCCATACTTGTAATGAAGATGTAAATGTTTTGTTCTGTATGCTTGAAATTGTCATGTGCTTGTCATTAAGCATAAAATACAGAGTCCCCAAAACATTCCAGAGAAGAAGGAAAAAGAAGAATTTACCAATTGGAAAGGACAAGTTTTCTCTTGATAGTCAAACAGTTATGATATAAAGTGGTCTCATTAAACCATAAGTACTTTAACCTTTTCTTGAAAGAACTAGAAGATTTAAAGATTTATAAAGAAATGTTGCCCAAACTAAAACAAAGGCTCATATCTGACATGTATTGAAATGATAATGCTGATTTCAATAGGCATTCTAAGAGCATTTTGCTCCCAAAGGGGTAATTCAAATCCAGTTACCTCTTTACATTTTGCATTTAAACTTCCTTTCTAAGGCTTTTAATGTGGCACTGCCAAAACATGGCAAAGTTATGCAAATGTGATTGAGCAAAATAAAAGCTAATATGAATATTATTAACTAATTAGTGTTACTGAATATGTAATAAAACATTCCCAAGTGGCAGTTCTATAGATGACCCATTTCACTCTAGTTTTGGTAGAAGTGCGAATGACAACATAGATCTGTTAAGACTCTTCAAAGTTCATGATTCCTTTATTCATTTATTGAGGGAAATATATAAACAAACATCAGGAAAACAGCAAAATAATCTAATTTTACATGATAGCCACTACTAACACAGTAGGGCTATGTGATGCTTTAGATTTTTAGACTCTAAAAAAGTGCTTTGGAGAACATAGCAACTTGAAAAATAGAATTTTTCTGCAATCGTTTAAAACAGATGAATTGATAAAGCTGCTTTAAAGAGATATAGATGGGTGCTGCATTTGTTCTGAAGCATCTTTCTGGAAGCTAGTCTGAAGCACCGCATGGCCCTTATGTATCATTGTAATCCCATATTCCTTGTATAGAATGTCCTATCTCCTCTTACTTCAGTTTTTACCTTATATCTAGTTAATAAATTCTATAGAACCTTTAGATCTAAGCCCTTATGCTAATTTTAGACCCTCTAGGTTCATGGTGGAGCTGCTGAATACTACTACTTCATGGCATGTGCTCATAGTACCAGTACAGAGGTCAGCTTTCAATTTTATGTGCTATTATGTCAGCCCCAAAGGAGATACTAACTCACTGAGTATGACACTAATGATTGATTATGAGTTATATGTAGCTGTGTCCTTCGGCCAGAGGAACAGTTTCATTATTTTGAACATCTAAAAGCTGTCTAGGATGCCCAACATTCTGTACACAAGCTTTTCTTCCCCCTAACAAATGACATTCGGAATCTGAAAAGTACTGAAGTTTAGGTATGTGCTGTAAATGCAAATGGCATTTTGAGTGGTGGCTATTAAACACGATAGTACTGATCTCTTACTTGTTAGGTATTTTAATCCAGGAACTTTATTTCTTCTCATTCAACCTAGAACCTTTTTTTTTTATAAGGCAAATGCTATGTTCAGCACAGCTAAGTATCTTGTGAAATATTTCAATACCTATTTTTACTGCTATGCTTGCTTGCTTTACAATCCCGTGATGGATATTATATGCAGGAATGAACACTGGTCATTGTTAAAACTCTGTTAGGGAATGCAGTTTGAAATAAAAAAAATGTATCATCCTTTGTCCCCCCACTTTATCATAATATTTTAAGTTAAATTCTACCACTTTAACATTTGTTCAGAGGTGCCCCTCTCATATAATATAAGACTTTAATACTGATGCTAAAGGTTATTTATTTATTTAACTCACCTGCACGCTAAGATGATTCCATTTCTTCACCAGAATTCTCCCCAGTGTCATTACTTTTATCGGTAGCTGCAGCCCATTTATAGTGCGATAATAAAACACTGTCTCTTTCTCAGAAATTGTAAGCTTGAACACAGTCTGCCCATGAACAGTTTTCTCCACTATACACCTTTGGAAACAATAAAGAAAACAACACTGAGGGTGAACTTCAGAAAGAGCAGTGGGATCACTAGAGAAATTGGGAGGGGGAGTAGTGATGCAGGTATGAGTAACCAGGTATTTATAAAGCAGGAATTACATTTAATAGAATTAAAGTCAAATAAGTTATCATGGAAAGTTTCTGCTGGAGTCTTTTAAGCCTCTGTTTGGGGCTCTTTCTCTTCATTAAATTTATATAAATAACCTGGACTTGCAAGAGGTGGATGCCAATAAGCAAGACAAAATTAAGTTTCAATGGGTCAAAACCAGAGGTGGTATTCAGCAGGTTCTGACCAGTTCTGGAGAACCAGTAGTGGAAATTTTGAGTAGTTCGGAGAACCGGCAAATGCCACCTCTAACTGGAGATTTTACAATATCCTTCCCCTGTCACGCCCACCAAGCCATGCCCCAGAACCAGTAGTAAAAAAATTTGAATCCCACCACTGGTCAAAATTAATAAGATGATATTTTCAACAGAGATCTTTATAACTTAATGGCTGGAGTACCACAAATTAATAATAAACATCCATGTATAAGCAGGACTAGATGTTTCAGGATATCACATGTGCTAAAAAAAGCTAATGCAATCCATCATTCAGTTAACAGAAGCATAATATCTGGACCACTGGAAGCAACATTGTACTTCTGGTACAATTTAAGGTTAGTGACACATTTGGCTATCTGCACAGAATGGTAATCAGTACACTGAGAATTAATGGCAAAAAATTCTAATATGAACAAAGGAGCTAAATATTTTCAGGGTTCAGTGCAGGGTTTTAAAAAATCAATATAGCAGCCCTGATGGTGCAATTGAATTTCCATTTGTTTTGTTTTTTTAATGTATATTACACATATCCTTGGTATGTTTAGTCTGGAGAACATAAAGGATAAGCAAAATAATAACCTTCCAAATTCTGGAATACTGGCATTCATAAGACAGTCTAGCATTCATTTTGCTACTCTTTAGAATCAACAATGAAAATTGCAGTCAAGCACATCAGAAGAAACTTCCTCATAAAAAAATGTGTGTCAGTGGACACGTTGCTTTGAGAAATATTTTTTCCTTGTTTTAGAACTTTAAGCAGAATTTAGATAACCATATGTCAAGAATTTTGTAGTGGTAGCCTATACTTCTTCTTGGTCATAGAACTGGTTTAGGTTAAAACCACTTGAACTCCATGTTGATAATTAAGAAAGGTGATTTGTGAGCTGTGGGAAGACATGGCTTCCTACAGAAGCCCAACATTGCTGAGGGTAAGCGTAGGCTATGTAAGAAAAGACATAATATTTCATTCAGGCCCCACCAAAGATACTTAGCTGTTTCAGGTGAATAAGAAAATTATTTCCATCCCATTTCTATACAGCAATAGCACTTATATACTGCTTCACAATTCTCTACAGCCCTCTCTAAGTGTTTTTCAGAGTTAGCACATTTTCCGCAACAATCTTGGTCCTCATTTTACTGACCTCAGAAGGCTGAGCTCTGACTCAGACCTTGGTCCTCATTTTACTGACCTCAGGAAGGCTGACTGACTACAGAATTTTACTTCAATATTGATGGTGAGATGCTATTCTGAATCAAAATGTTACCTTAAAGGGAGGGGAGCAGCATTGGACAATTTATGTAGCACTATTCAGTTTTGTTACTTAATAAACTGCAGCTACTGTTTTCCAACATCCATTGCATGAAGTCACTACCTCACTGTGCCATTTAATAAATAAGACAGTGGCCACATGAATGTATCCTAATGTGTACTAAAGTTGGTAATTAATACTGATAATTTGACAATTATCAAACTGAAACCACCACATCCAATATTGCACAAACAGGCTTTTCTTTATTCAGGCTTTCCATTTGCCTATTTGAATCATGCTGGCACAGTGGTTAAAATGCAGTATTGCAGGCTAACTCTGCTCACTGCCAAAGTTCCATCCTGACCAGCTCAAGGTTGACTCAACCTTCCATCCTTCTGAGGTTGGTAAAATGGGGATCCAGATTGTTGGGGGCAATAGGCTGACTCTGTAAACCACTTAGCAAGGACTGTAAAGCACTGCAAAGTAGTATATAATTCTAAGTGCTATTACTATTTCCCTTGCATGCCCTAAAATTGTCTATCAGACGGTGAGCCAGTCTTCCATGGAAGATATTCATTCCCCTTGTAGGAATACACAAAAGGACAGAATCTTTGCATTTGAGCAAGATCAGCAAATAAATGTAACTAGATTCCATCCTTTATATTACAATGCTACACAAACAAACAATAAAACATTTATTCATAAAATGTTCCAACTTTTCTAAAATATTACATTAGTTCAAGGTTAAAGGGCATAACAAAGAAAACTTTGTTGTTTTCCCACTGGAGTCCTGTGCTACTGTTTTCAGTTAACAAGAGTCACGATTCTTGCCCAGAAACTGGTTTGTCATTAACTCACTTTTAATCAGACAAGATAAATGAAGTTTGACCATTATTCTCTTTCAGTAATGATTCTGATCCCATCAATTATTTGTCAACAGAATTTTAAGTGAACTATGCAATCTGCAATGTTGCTAAAAATGCATTTCTTAACATACTGCTGATTCTGCCTGCTTGTAAACATGTTGGTTTTTCAATATCAAATATTTGTCAAGGCACAGCCAAGAAGGAAAATATTTAGGAACTGGATTTATTCAGTTCCTGGATAAACAATAATTGGATAATCCAAAGTTTATTAATTTTGCTTATCTAAAAACAAATATCTCCATATGTGGACCCCAACAAGTGTCACTGCCTTTAACAAAGGAAGTTACCCTGATTTATAATACTTTAAAATCCATAAAGTTTTCACAAATGTGTGATTTACAACTAATTTCCCATCTGGTGAAAGTATGTCAATCTTGACATAACATAACTACAACAATGACAATAAACCTTTCAAAAAAGGTTTGACTCCATATCAAAGTATGATAGGAAAGGGAAGACCTTCCTACCATATTAAGACATGCATTATTGTCCTAGTCTGCTTTTTTTTAAAAGTGAAAAAATCCATTCTGTTCAATTATTGTTCTAAGCACTAATTATCATTCAAATCCAGGTTGGCATCTTTTAATTATATGAATGTATCCATCCATATTTTATGGTTCAAGAGAAATTCTAAGATTAATAACTAGGTCTACTAGAATGTCTCTGTCCTATCAAAGTCCAGCCATTGTTATAGTGATGAAGGTAAAAACCACATTGATTGATTCTTTTCACTCTGGCCATCCATACTTCCATTTTAATTCTTAACACTTGTGGAACACTTATGACAGAAGGCAGTGGTAGTGGAGGCTTCATGAGTACAATACTGCAATTATTTTCATGAAAGAGTACCATACATAAATTCAATGCCTTCCATGGACCACTGAATTATATTTATTTCCTTCCATCCTTCCCTCCCACCTTCCTTCCATCCTCTCCCTTCTCTGATCTCAGCAAATTACTCTGGGGATGGAACAATCTTAAAAATAAAAATAATGAAATGACAATTACAAAAAACTAAAATAGAGACATACATCAGTAACTAACACAACCAGGGGATGGATCCCTTCACAGATGTGAGACCACAGGTTTGAACACAAAGCTAGGTATTTAGGGCCTTACAAAAGGCCAGCATGGTTGGGAACAACTTGATCTCTGGAAGGACAATGTTCTATTACTATGGTAGAAAAGACTTGTCTTCTGACCCATTGGGATCAACATTTCTTAGTCTGAAAGACTTGGAGCATGTAAGTTCTGATGGACTAGAGGTAGAAACAACTTAAGGAACAAGATGGATCCTTAAGTTCTCAGGTCCTATGCCATGGAAATGCTTGAAAGATGACAACCGGCACCTTGAATTTCATCCAGAAGCACACTGGCAACCAGTGCAGCTCGTGTATGTCATATATGTCATTTACTACCCATGTTGCTGCATTCTGCATCAGTTGGAGCTTCTGAATAGTCTTCAAGGACAGACCCTCGTACAGTGCATTAAAGTAGTCTAGATGGAAAGTCACAAGGGCATGAATCAAGTCCTGTGTCACCCCCCAAAATTTGACGCCATAGTATGAATCTTTTCCAATTATCAATGTTGATTGGAACCAGCCCTAAAGGAAAGAAGAGCAACAGCACAACATAGTTCCAGAGCCTTCCAGAGTCAGTCCAAAGTGATACTATGATTATTAGTATTGAAAGCTGCTGAGAGGTCAAGGACAGTAAAGATGGAAGAACAACCCTCATTCCACTTTCATCAAATCAATAAACATCCTGATCACATATCCAAGCCTGAATCCTAACTGAAAAGGATCCATATAATGTATTAATCCAGAGGCCTCTGAAAATGCAGTAAGACCACCACATTCTCCATAACATTTCCCAAAACAGGGAGTTTAGAGATTGCATGAGAATTGTCCAGACTACTTGATCAAGTAATGGATCCTTGAGAACAGAGTGCACTATTGCCTCTTTAAGGGCCAGCAGGACTATCCCTTTCCTTTATATGGTTAATTACTTTAAATACTCCATTAATTTCTCTGTTTCTATATTGCTTTAAGATCAGAACATCAATATATCAAATATGTAAATACCGTATTTATCGGCGTATAACACGCACTTTTTTCCCCCTGAAAATAGGGGGCAAATGATGTATGCGTGTTATACGCCGATATAATGTTAAGAAGCCTTTGGTGAATGCTGCTGGGATCGGGGATCAAGGACACAAATGAAAGAAGGGGAGGGAGGAAGCAACCGAAGCCTGTCCTTCTCTCTGGGTCAGCTCTCTCAGTCGCTCTCTCGCTCCTCCACCAGCACAGGAAGAAACTGCTTCAAAGAAGCGGGGGGGGGGCTTTTCCTGTCGCCGCAGCTTCCCTGAAGCGCCCGTTTCTCCCCCACCCCCATCCCGTCCGCCCGCCCGCCCTCCCGCCCGCAGTGCTCCGTTCTGCCTGCCTGCCTGCCTTCGTTAATGGTTGAATCG